CTCCCCGGGCTCTGTGAGGGCTCCCCGGCCTTGGGGACAGCGGGCAAAGCGGGGACTGGCGGCTGGAAGGAGGGGGGACAATGGGGACCGGTGGAGTGGAGCAGGGAGCAGCTGTGGGACAAACAATGGCCCTGAGAGGAAGCCTGCGGAGAACGCAGGGAAATACCAGCTAAAGGTGGCCAAAGGAAAATTGTCATTAATGGGGTGGAAGGAGCTCTGTTGGAGAGGGTCCGGTGCAGGCCACAAAGGTGGTTTGGGGTCTGGAGCATCTCTGGTGACGAGAGAGTGGAGGAGCTGGGCCTGCTTAGTCTAGGGAAGACAGAGGAGATGTCATCAGTCCATATAAATATCTCTAATGGTGCCAGACCCTTTGCAGCAACAGGCCATAAACTAAACACAAGGAGTTCCACCTCAAGGTGAGGAAGAACTTTACAGTGAACAGAGCACTGGAAAAGGCTTCCCGAGGAAGTCATGGAGTTTGCTGGGGACACTCCAAACCTGTCTAGGGGTATCCCTGTGTCTCCTGCTCCAGGTGACAGTGCCTTGACAGGGGGTTTGGGCTGCATCATCCACAGAGATCCCTTCCAGGCCCCACAATTCTGTGATCCTGTGAAAGCAGCTCCATCACTAAACACTGCCCTAAGGCCACCTTCAGCTTCTGCTGGGGGCTGTTCTTCTGCCCCATGTCACAGCAAAACAGCCCTGAGGGGCAGCACAGGGGCTCCTGTGGGGTGTTTGGGACAACCATGCGAGAACAAAAGTGTGGGAAGGGAAACTGATGCAGCCAGGGAAAGTGAATCCCTTTAGCAGGCTGAACTGAGAGGAAAGTGTAGGAGTTGCCATGGGTGGGGAGCAAACGTCTGTCCTGTCAAACTTTCCAGAGATGTTCCTGCAGCGTGTAGGGAAGGGCAGGGAGGGGAAAGGGGACGTGCTGCCGCTCCCTCCCACAGTTAATTATTACCTGGCAGGTCGGAGGGGCTGCTGGTGCTGGAGCCACCAAACTGCTCCTGGTTTGCTTTCCTGGTGTCTGTAGCTCCTCCCATCAGAGGACAGCCAGCCCTGCTTTACGTTCTTGCTGCTGGGGACTTCCACAAGTGTGGAAAAACAAAAAAAAAACAAACAACCAAACAAACCCAAAACTTGTGCTGGCAAGTAGAGGAGGGAATGAAGTTTTCCAGATGCTCAGTGCAGGCTGCTGGCTGTCGGGCACTCAGAGTGGCAGAGCAGTAGGAGGGACACACACCAGAGTGCTGAGAAACTGCAGCTTAGACAGCACCTGGAGAGCTTCAGGCCCTGGTGGAACTTTGAGAGCTGCAGTCCTGGCAGGACAGAACAGTTCATCTGCTCTGAGCCTTTCCTGCTTTCCTTCACTGGGGTGAAACATCTGTGCAAGCTCATGGTGGCCACCACCACAATCTGATCTCCTGTCCCTTCCCATTCCCAGCTCCCTGTGGACCTGGGGGAGCAGTTCACAGCTCAGAACCAGAGTTTGTAAATGCAGCTGACCACCCTGAGAGTCTGTGACCCAAATGTACAAACCTGCTTGCCCCAAACCAAGCTGTCAGCACTGCCTTCCCCTGCTGTGAATGCGCTCCTCTCCAAAAGAGCTTAGAGCAGCAGAAAAAAATGGTGCTTCCTAAGCCACCATAACAGGCCTGTGTATTTTTTTTAAATGATTAATTAAAATAAACAGTTCTGCACTCAACAATCTGCCTGGCTGTGGTGTGGAGACAGTTCCTGTAGCTCTGTGTGTAAGATACCTTGGGGTATCTTACATGAGTATTTAAGGGCCTTGAGAGGAATGCACAGCATAGATTGCCAAAGAGCTGCCTTGTTCAGACCCCCTGCCCTGGTGACACTCAGCAGCTTCCCCTGGAGAAATAGGTCCCTTCATGAATAACCTCATGCTGCAGTGAGATCAGGGCAGATCCTTATTTTACAAAATCAACACCAAGTTGTTGGAAGGAGAGATGTTTGGGGTGAAGCTGTGGCGTCCCTGCTCAGCTGGGCACGGGGCTGTCACTGCTGCAGGACAGCTGGGGATAATTTGGGCTTCTCTTCACTCTCCTGGCTGCAGGGAGGTGCAGAAAGCTGTGAACACTGCCCAGGGGCTCTTCCAGAGGTGGACAGAGCTCCTGCAGGATCCCTCCATCGCCACAAGAGAGGAAATCGACTGGACCACCAATGAGCTCAGGAACAACCTGCGCAGCATCGAGTGGGACCTGGAAGACCTGGATGAAACCATTAATATCCTTTCTGTTGCAGTTCTCAGGTTGTACTAAATAGCCAAGTCCCAGTGCTTGTCACTCTGCAAAAATCAGGATTGGATTTTGCGTTCTCAAATTGCAAATGAGACATTAAGTCAAGGATTTTTCCTTTTGCCTTTTTGCAAAGTATAGTCTAAGGGGCTTTGTTGTAGAAAGCCTATTGTGTTGTGTGAATCTGGATTTCTGCAGGGTCAGTTCATTCCCTAGGCTGCCTTCCAGAAATACTCCTTTTCCCTTGTGTTCCTCAGGACCAAAAAAACACGTGGAAAAGAGAAACCTTGTGTGTGTTCTTGAGCTGCACGGCCCATTCCTGCCGTGTCTCCTGTTCCATCTTTGCTACTCACATTTTGGGAGCAGGCACACCACAGTGGCCCCTTGGCACCCTCTGTGTGTACCCAGTCCCATTTCTGGGGGCTCCTTGACTTGGTGCCCAGGCATTGTGGAGGCAAACCCACGGAAATTCAACCTCGATGCCACGGAGCTGGGCATCCGCAAAGCCTTCATCACCAGCACGCGCCAGGTGGTCAGGGTAAGGAGCCTGCCTTGGCCTCGGGGCCTGCGGGGAGTTGGGGCTAAAAAAGGAAATCTGGGGTGGGATGGGGAGCAGAGAATGAAGCTGCACCCTGCTGAGTCTCAGGCTTCCTCCTTTTCCCCGAGCGTTCCCTCCTGCTGCTGCCCAGAAGGATTTGGTGCCCCATGGAATTCCCTCCTTTTGTGCTGCTGAACCTTGAAGGCTTCACAGTGCTCTGGGAGCCCGTGGCAGCAGGAGGAAGAGTGAAGACCCAGCTGCACTGTGCAAACTCTGCAGCTTCAGAGCTGAGGGGAATCTCAACAGTCCTGACCATTTGTAGCCCTGTTTTTCAGCAACAGAGAGACCACTTTGAACACTGACAGGTGTTTAAAGCCTGCTGTTATTCACATGGTGACTTCAACTTCCTACCCCTGCAAAATAGTCCAAACAACCACTGGATTTATTTTTAACTTGAGGAAGACTTGTTTTTTTTAGTTTAGGCTTATGCTTGAGAAGCAAAAAGGGGATTTTAACAACTTGGTGGTAACAAATAGAGAAGAAACATCTTTCCAAGCTGCTTGTTGGGGAGTTTTCTGTCTATTAATAGCTACACTGAGTTTGTGCTGTCCCTCATGACTCTGATGTTGCTGCTCCACAGAAGGCACTGGTGTGGCTGGCAGCAAGCCTGTTACCCTACCTGCAGTGCTGTGGTCTGGATGCAGTTCCTAAGGTTTGCTGCCTGGGAACTGATCCCACAACCACACTGGCCCCAGGTAGCAGGCATGTGTTTACTGCCTTGCCCATGGTGTAGTCCACTCCCTAATGGGCAGGATCAGGCAAGCCTGCTCTCTGGTCGTCTTCTCCTGGCTGGAAAATGCTGGCTAATGGCTTTTGGAGCAGTGTTTCCCACTGGGAAATGAAATTTGTAAGTGGCTCTGTGCAGCTGGCTTCCAGTTTCCACGGGGGAAATTTGTGATGTGCTGCAGCCAGTGAGAATGAACCAAGTGGATGTGGTGGTGCTCTCTGGTGATGTGTTGCACATCTCTGAACAGTAACACACAGCTGAATCCTCTGCTGGTGGATCAGCCTCTGCCAGATGATGTTGGCTACTTGCTAATTTATGCAAACCAGGTTATATTACATTGTGCTGGGGAGCCTTCTGTGGTTAGGGACCTTCTGCAGGAGCTCCAGCAGAAATTAATTGGTGGGAGAGAACATTGACACAGAGGGGATGGCCACAGGACAGCAAATCTACCTTCTGCTATGGAATATAAAACCAGATGGGAATAAAGCACAGGAGGTTACAGGCTTCAAGGCCTTGACAAACACTTCCTCACATTCTGTCAACAGGAACATTCATTATTCACAAATCAATGTGGAGAAAAATGAGTAGTACATGAGGAATATTTTTAAAAAATCCCAGTGCTGTTCATTCTAGTATTAGTATAATCATGAAACTGTCTACAGTATGTTTACAGACTTTTCAAAAGTGTGGGTTTTCAAATAAAATCTCCCTTCCCTCTTTCCCCCTTGTAGAAGCCTTGCCTGGGTATAAACAGCCCTGTAGCACCCTGAATTTGCCTGTCACCTCAAACCCAATGCTCAACAGCCCTGTAGCACCCTGAATTTTCCTGTCACCTCAAACCCAATGCTCAACAGCCCTGTAGCACCCTGAATTTTCCTGTCACCTCAAACCCAATGCTCACATGCTCCTTTTTTTTTTTTGTTGAATGAACAGGACATGAAGGATCAGATGTCAAACTCTTCCATGCAAGCCCTGGCTGAAAGGAAAAACAGGCAGGTGAGAATGAGAATTGGGCAATTTATTTCTGCTACAGTGTCTGTCCTGTCTGGAGTCCCTCCCCTTACAGACCCTGGGTGTGGGCAGGGGCTCCCGGGCTGGGTGTGAGCTGTGTCCATTTGGCTGCCCTGGGAGTTCTGGTTCTCCCAGGCCCCTCTCAGAGCTGTAAGGCAGCACTCACCATCTGGCTCTGTCTTCAGAGCTGCTTGTTTACAACTGTCAGCATTGCACCATCCCATGGAGAGGGAAATCTCCCTCCTTCTCCTCCTCCCTGGGGGGAAGCAGCTCAGAATCCATGTCAATGAATGTAATCCTGCACTCTGCTGGATTTAGGAGCCAGGATGGTGCAATATCCTTTCAGGCAGCTGCTTCTGGTAATAGCCCTGTAAGAAGATGGAAGGAGCTCCGGGAGTCTGGTGTTGTCTGCACTTGTAATCTAAGGAATAGAAATAGATGCAGCTTGTGCTGCTTGCTGGCTGATGGAGAGGCTGTAAGGAGATACTGGAGCTGACTCCAGACCCACCCCAGTAAAAGCTGGTGTGTACAGTTAATTGTACTGCCTCAGCCTTACCACATGTGGCAAACACAACAAACTGAGAAGCACAGAACTCATTCCTGAGCTTGTCACAGGTTAATTAATGTGCTTGGCAAACACTCCCAGCAGCAAAGTCCCTGACACCCTTGCTCAAACAAGTCTGTAGCTTTCCCTGGGATTTGCTGCTTTCCTTTGCATGAGGTTCCTGCTAGCTGCAGGAGACCATATGGCCCAGCTGATGCAGTGACATCTGGGCAGGAAGGCTGACTTCCCCTCGCTGCCTTCCTCTCCCTCCCCAGCCCCTTCACTCCAGACTGCAAGGCTTGGGCTGGGCTTTGTGTCTGAGCAATGACCTGACCCTCACAGCCCAGGCTGGCAAACAGGCCCTTTCTATTGAAGCTGCAGGCAAAGCTAGTGCACTAGATAAAATATTAAATCAAAAGGAGCTGCCTTTGCCACAGACTGGAGGGACCAGGAGCTTGCTCAGTGTCTTGGGGGCAGAAAAAGCCAGATGTCCTGCTGGCTTCCTGCATGGTCAGTCTGTCAGCTTTCCTCACCCCTCCTTGAACCTTGTCAGTCAGATGAACCATAGACACTGTCTGGTTTTCAGCCTGACAGAGCAGCCTGGTCATTGTCTTGCTGTTCTTCACAAACACTCAGTCATTTCCAGGAGCTGCAGGATGGTCTCATTACAAGTCAGCCTGGAGGGCAGAGTCCCTCACCCCTCCCTGGTGCTGCAGGGTGCAGTTCCTCACATGCAGCTCATGTTCATTCTCCAGCATCTGAAGCTTGGGTTGTTTCCATTTCAGGGACAGACATATTTCCCTGAACCCTTTTCAGGGACCAGACATACTTGGCTGGAAAGCCACATCTCTGCAGGCTTTGCAGAGCTTATCACTCCCAGGTAGCAAGAGTAACTTTGTGTGCTGGCAGCTGCAGAGCCTGCTGGAGACACAGGCAGCCTGGATCATAGAACAGAAGCATGCAGCACTGCTCTGCTTATAGATTGCATTATTTTACTGTCAGCCCAACTGGTTAAGTCCTTTATCCAGACCCTCTTAAGCCCCTGTCATTAGCAGCAGAGTGCTCAGATGGAGCTGCACGTGTGTTAACACAACATAGCCAGACATTCCCAGCTCACATGTCCCAGCACACACTGCTGCCTCCTGAGCAGGCCTCCTGCACACACAGGCCACACTCCAGCTCTCCTGCTGCTGGAGAGGCATCTCTGCAATGCCAGGCTGCAGAGAATCCCAGGCTGGCATTTTGGCTCTGTGTTGCTTTAGTTCCTGACAGCACTGGCTGAGCAGCAGCAGAGCAGGAGGAAGGGGATGCTGTGTGCCTGGTTACGAGTGCTGCCTTGTCTGCCTCCCCAGCTCACCCTGTGGACGGGCTGTGAGCAGACACAAGGGTGTTGCTAAGAGCTCTCTGCATCTGTTCAGGCACTCCTGGGAGAGAGTGGCAGTCAGAGTTGGAGCTCTGGACCTGACAAATACAGCCGTCTGGACCGGGAGCTGCAGTTAGCCAATTCACATTTCATCGAGGAGCAGCAAGCTCAACAACAGGTAAGGCAGCTGGCATCACACACTAAATAGCTTTGCTTGCCAAGTGGGTGCCAGGGGGCTGCTCTGGCTCCAGGAGCCTGACAGTTCTCCTCTTGGCTTGTGGCATGTGTGTGTGCCTGCATTTCCTGTGCAGCACAGCTCTGGGTGATCTGGGCACAAGGTTTTTAACCCTGGAGCCGTGGGGCTTCTGCTGGGTTTAGGAGGCAGTTGGCACAGTCTGGAAGATGTAGCACACTTAAGATTTAATAATGCAAGGATTGCTGAAATCCTTGGAAGAGTAGAAACACTGCAAAAAGAAAAGAGCCAGTTTCTCTTATGCAATTTCCCCTGGTTAGAAAATGTTTGGTGTTGTTTGTGTGCATCCCCCATCAGATCAGGCTGGGAGCAGGAGCACGTGCCTGCTTCCTTTTCCTGCCTTTGTCCCCGTGAGATTGGTGAGAAAGGCTGTGTGAGGCCTTGGGAGAGCCTCTGGTGAGGCACTTCCCAGCTGGCAGGGGAGTCTGCCTGGAGAGCTGCAGGGCCTTGACACGGGCAGTGACTCGGAGGTGCAAACTCGGCTAAAGCTCCTGAGCCCTGCTGCCACCTCGGCCTGCAGACACGTTTTACCTACTGACTGCAGGGGGATAAACAGCCTCAGAAATAGGTAACTAGGGTAAGGCTAATCCTTGGCGTGACTGTGCCCTGAAAATGACTTAAAACAGCAGCAGACTTATTCCTTTGGCACATTCAGAGCCAGGCTGGTTATTTTTAGCTGTAGAAGCTGCAACAGCCTTCTGCTTGCATTAACCCCGTGTTAGCTGTGGCACATTCCAGGTAGCATTTCCCAGGCACAGCATCAGTGTGCCTCCCTGGCCTGCTCACCTTGCCAAGGTTTTGATGACCAGCCCTTGGAGCTTTCCAAAGTCACTTGAGCTGTGCATGCAGCATGGATGAGCTGAGGCTGGATTTGCAGGGATGCCTGGAGGCTGCAGCCTGCTGTGCCATGGGGATGCCATGCCATGGAGACTTTCCCCTGGTTGTCTCCTCTCCAGCATTTCTTAGGAATGCAGTCCTCATTCCTGGTGGCTTAGGTGTGAGCCCAGGCCTCACAGCTGATGTTGGCTGAGCAGCCAGTGCCTGTCCACTGGATGGGCTGGCTCCAAGGCAGCTGCAGGCAGCAGATCTGTGATTGCCCATTTCTCTCCTCTCTGGCCCCAGCTGATTGTGGAGCAGCAGGATGAGCAGTTGGAGCTGGTCTCTGGCAGCATCGGCGTGCTGAAGAACATGTCCCAGCGCATTGGCGGGGAGCTGGAGGAGCAGGCGGTGTAAGTGTGAGACATGGTGGCAAAAACCTGGCACGGGGCTGGCTGCAGCATGGCTGGATGTCCTCACACACCAGAAAGATACCTGTCTCTGCCTCTGGTGCAGCCTGGAATCCACTGGTGCCTCAGGCAGCTTGTGGAAGCATTTTGTACTGCAATCCCCAAGGGTCCAACTGCACCCTCCTTCCTTGGGAGGGCTGCATCTAGGGCAGGCTGAACTGCCACCTTTCCTTCCCTCCTGTCCTTTTCACATGCTCCCCCTCAGGCAGCCAGCAGATAAGGGAGGGAGGGAGGGAGGGAGGGAGGGGCTGTGCAGTGCAGATGCTGCCCACTTCTCCACTCTGCAGGGTTTTGTGCTGCTGGGGCCAGGAGCTCTCAGCTGTGGCCTGAAACACACAGCACAGAGCTGCTCTTCATCACTGAAGTTAAAAATAACCCTCACCCACGCAAAGGGTTAAAGGGCAGCTCACCAAGTCCAATGCATCCATCCATTTACATATAAATTAGATTTCTTCCCCAGTTCTTGTCCTTTGCAAACAAGTTCCCAGTTGTGCAGGCTAAGAGCTATGCTTCCAGAAAGGCTTGAAGGGTTCATGGCTAAAACCCCTCCTTGTTTGGCTGGTAGGAGTCTGGAGGGCCATATCCCTTGTGAAGTGATTTCATCTTGGATGGAGAGGAGGAACTTTGAACCTCCCTCCTGTGTGAAGCTGTGCAGCATGAGAATCCTCTGCTCTCACAGGGGAGATTGGTGTGGTGTGTCTGTTTCTAGATCATCACACAAGCCATCAGTGCTTGCAGGATTAGCTCATAACTACCACAGGGAGTTTTTCCCCACTGAATGAAGGTTTAACAAGTGCCCTGGCACTCCAAATGAAGGAGTCTGTCCTTTTAAATGCATTAAGCTCCAAAGTCCCACTGGCTGGAGACAATTGGATTAGTACCTTGACTCTGGATGTGCACTGGCATTGACAAAGCACGGATTCAGGAAGGCTTTCAGATTCATTACAGTCACTGTGTAGAGGAAGTAAAAGGGTAGCTTCCATGCAGAGCTTGAAAAGCACCTTAAAAGCAACTGCAGATCTCATTCCCACTTGATACCTGACTGAAACAAGATTTTAGTTTAAACTGCAAGCCCTGAACAAGAAAAGGGATTTAAAGTCCAAGCCGACACGTAGATGCTAATCACGGATTATAAATGAGACCTTCCTTTTGTAAGGAGGAAAGCCCTCCCCCATTCCTCACCTTGCAGATGTGTGTAGAGTTCAGCCACAAACACCCAGGGGAGGCTCAGTCTGGCAGGAATCCCGAGTTACCTCCCACCAAAGCAGAGCTGCTGCTTCAGCAGCTTTTTTCCCCTCCCTCGGGTGCTCCCAGGAGAGGAAGCCACATTGATTTTGTCAGCCAAGGTGTGCTGCTCTGCTCACATCAGTGTTTGGACCCACATTTGTGAGCGTGGTGCAGAATGCCCAGGGATGTGCCACGTGCTGAGCAGTGCCCTGCCTCTCTCTGTGTCCCCAGGATGCTGGATGACTTCTCCCACGAGCTGGACAGCACTCAGTCACGCCTCGATAACGTCATGAAGAAACTGGCCAAAGTGTCTCACATGACCAGTGGTAGGTCCTGGGGAGTGGGATGCAGTCCTGGAAAGGGAGAAACAAGCCCTGGATCTTCAGGCTGGGACATTGTGCTCCCACCCAGCCAGCCAAGGGGAGGGAGCAGCTCTCAGTTCTTGAAAGAAGGGGAAGGGTTCCAAGCCCGGCAGCTGCTCCTGCCCAGACACTGCTCTGCTGCCTGTCCCCTCCCTTTGTTTTATTTACAGATGCCTTTCTATTTATGCTGCTGCTGCTGGGAAAATCCCCCTCTAGCTGCTGGGAGGGGAAGCTCTGCAGCCTCCTGCTCTGCTGCACTTTCCCGGGCTGCCTGTGGAACAAAAGCTGTCAAGGTGCCATTAAACACCGAATGCCTGCAGCAATCCCCTTCCCAAATCCCACCTGCTGCTGGTGCCTGCAGGCTGCTGTGGGTCACATCTCTCAGCTGGTAGAGGAAAGAGCAGAATTCTGTGCTGAGCCCACAGAAAAGTCCTTATAAGGCTGTGCCTGGAGCCAGAGCAAACAGGAAGCCGGGCCTGGCTGCCGGGAAGTCCCGGCTGTGGCTGCCTGTGAGCCTGGCACCGTGCCCAGGCAGCACCTCCTCCAGCACCCCTCTCCCCTGGCTGCCCAGGGAAAGCAGCAGCCTGGCAGGAGGAAAGGCATTCCTGCTCTGCAGGATTAGGCTGTCCCAGGGATTTATGAGCTAGTGGGAACACAGCCCCAGAGAGACCCCTTGGAGTGCTGAGGGTGCACTTTGGGTCAGCAGTAGCTCAGCAGCAGCACAAACACGGGTGAACCCTGTGTCTCTGCCCTCTCCTCTGGGAAATCCCATGGATCTCTGCAGAGTGATTCTGAGTGTTGGGAAAGAGCTGCAATTTCAGCTGGAATCACCTATTCCAGGGAGAGTGGAAGAGTTCTCTCTGGGGTAGCTGCTGTGCCTAGGAGCTGAGGGGTGCCAGCAGCCCTGTCCCCTCTGCTGCACCATCATCTGCAGCTCTCAGAGGTGATGAGCCAATGAGGTGTAAAGACGTCCAGGGAAACCTGATTCCTGGCCCTGTGCTAAGGGAAGCCGCCACAATCTCTTCCTGGCAGAGCTCCTCAGGGCAGCTTTCACCAGATCCCTTCTCATTCCTCTGGCAAACAGATTGCTCCGTGAATGAACAGCAAACACAGCAGCTCTGCTTGTTCCTCCCAATTGCTTTTGAGCCAGCTTTCCAAAGCTGTTTGAACTTGGTTGGGAAGAAGCCTCAGGATTCCCACAGCTGTTCCCAAACCCCAGTGTATTCTGGAGGAGACAGGCTGTGGTGCAGTGAGGCATTGTCCCACAGGAACTCTTGTTTTGTTTTTTTTGTAGCTTAAGCTTGAATTTGGTTCCTAGCAGAACCAAATTTTCCTTCTCTGCTAAAGCAGTAAGACTGATGCTTCCTTTTCTTTCCAGATCGACGGCAGTGGTGTGCAATTGTTGTCCTCTTCGTCATCTTGCTAGTGGTGCTCATCCTGTTTTTTGTCCTGTGATGACAAAAACTGAACTTCCTGGGACGCCCCCTGCCCGCCCCCTGGCCCCGGCAGCGCGGGGAAATGAAACTCTGCCCATTTCCGTCCGCCCACAGAGATCCCCGGCAGGAACACCCGCAGCAGCTCTCAGCGTCCTCCTGCAGGGACTGCGGCGTCTCCCTGGCCCCGGGGAGGGGGCGGAGCGCTGGGGCTGCCTGCGGTGCCCCCCGGAGCCGCAGGGGGAGCTGACCCGCCCGCTGCAGGTAGGAGCCGCTGGACACAGAGCAGCGAGCCCTGGGCAGGATGGGACGGGGAGGAGTGACTGAATTCACTGAGCATTACAAACGGCGCTGCCAGTGCCAGCCTCGAGCATCACTGGGAAGGGTGAACCCCCGAAGCCACAGCAAGGGAGGGGAGCCCTGGCCCTGCTCCCCGTGCCCCTCCCTGCCTGTGGGCGGGCTCTGTAGCACCAATTCACTGCCCAGAGCTCGGTGAGTCCTGGCAGAGCTCTCCTGCCCCTCCCTGGGCAGAGGGCAGAGCTGTGGGGTCTCATGTCCTGCCGTGGGCACCCCAGAGCCTCAGAGCTGAGGTGCTGCACACCGAGCGCTGGCAATCAGCTGTGAGCCACACAGGGAGAGTCTTGAAGCTTTTAAACTTGCCTCCCTCATTATACAGGCCTCTAAAGCTCATTGACTGATGCTTTCTTTGCCCTTGTATAACTGAGTCACTGCTTCTGTTTAACAGCTGCTTCCCTTTGGCAAGTGATTTGCCAAGTCTAAAATAACTTATTTTTTTTAAGAAAAAAGAAAAAAACTTTAAAGATTTTTTTGATGACCATTAGAGCCACGTTCTCTGACACACATGATCAGAGGAACAGTGCTCAGTGATGTATTTTAAGTGTACATGAACTTGTAAATAGGATGTCTTAATTTTCCCCAACTGCTATTTTTTGGACACCTCCGTTGTAAGCAACCAAAAGGCAGGAGATTCAAAGCTAGATCATGTTTCCAAATTCCTCCCCAGTCTTTTTGTTACCTCCCAGTTGTTTGTCACTCCAGTTGTCTCAGCAGGGTTGGATTCTCTCCAGGGAATGTGGAGTAGCCAGGTGGGCAGTACCAAAAATGTGAAGGAAGCTCACCTGGGCAGTGTCAGTGCAGAGGAACAGGCAGAGGGACCGTGCTGCAAGCAGCAGTGTGGGATGGGGGAAAGCAAAAACGTTTTCTTACCCCAATCTGCTCCCATATTTTAAGTTGCAAAGATGAAAAGACTCAGCACAGCCTGGCTTATGGCTCCCAGATGGGGCTGGGGGAGGAAGTTAATTGGCGCTGACGCAAAGACTTCTGCTGAAATTGCAAATCACCCCCAAAATCCTCCACCCCCCGCCTTAGAATCTT